ACACAGGTCCAAGCCCTCTGAGAAGTGTCTTTAAGGGAATAAACACAAGGCCAAGCCCTCTGAGAAGTGTCCTTAAGGGAATAAAAACAGGTCCACGGAATTTCAATGTGATGAGGGTCTGTTAATACTCTTTCCATTCTCCATCACCACTTAATTGGGTTTCCTGGCTGTGAGATCACTGACCAGGCCCAGGAGGACCATCCCTGGGGACAGTCATTGCCATCAGACTCCACGCTGCTCATTCCCTGGGCTTCCCAAGTGCTGCTGCTCTAAAACCTAGAAGGAGCTTCTGTTTAAGATTTCTCATTTCTTGTTTACCTGTTCATTTGAGCTTGGGGAGGAGACGGATTCTTCTCATCTGTGCTGTGAATAGGAAGCAAACCAAGGTTTCCCCAGGACTCCAATCCACAAGGAATGGTGCCAGTGTCAGCTTCAAAGACCTTAAGGCTTCACGGTTGTTCAGAAGAAGCTTCCTGTATTCACAAGGAAAACTCTCCTGGCATGCTCCTGTTGGTTTTGCCGGGATCACCTTGACACTCACACATTGTCCAGGAGTTGAAACAACAGCAGGGAGCAGAATTACACATAAGGGAATGAACAGGGTGTTGTTATGCAATAAATCAAAGCATTCAGTCACGAGGCCAGAAATATTTGCATCAGAGGGAGCTCGGAATAGAAGTGAAGCATCAAAGATTTTGGCCACTGGAGTACTACAAAGATCCACCAACCCTGCTGTTTTCACAGCTGATTTTCACAGCCAGGTCTCAGTATCTTTGTGGGGACTCTGAAGGCAAAGCACGTTACATGGACTCTGTTCCTACAAGTCCATCAAGGGCTTTGCCTGGCCCAGCTCCAGGAGAGAAGACCCACCGGATCTGATTTTGGAGAACACATAGTTGAGCAATATCTGTGCAAAGCTCTCCACTTATATTAGTGTCATCCTCCACCTCGATAATAACTAAAAATAAAGTGCTGCAATAATCAACTAGATTGACTAAGACAGATGCTGCTTTTAACATGTGTACTGTAATTAACTTACACAGGGCTAGAAAGCTCCATCTCAGCCTCTTCCCACAGTGGAGGAAGTTTGGCTTTCTAATAATAGGAGCTGGTAACACATGTTGAATTATAAAGTAATGAAAGTTGGTTTTGGCAGGAACAATCCTGGTTTGTCGTGCTTCCATTTAATCTCCAAGCCTGACAGGCGCTCTGCTCCCAGCTGCTGCTCCTGCAGCTCCTTCTGACTGTCTTTCCTCTGGCATAAGGTAGGGCACAAACCCTTCACAAGGGGAGAGGGGGTGGCTGTCTCTGCCTGGCCTCCTGAGGATGTGTGTGCTGACTCTCTCTCAGGTGCCATATGGTTTGCACACACCAGTCAGCACCACACACACACACACCCAGCACGTTGTGTGTGCACACCCACACACAGCCTGGCCCAGCTACCAGCTCTGAGCTTCCCTTGGAGTGGCCTCACCCTGAACTCTCACATTTGGGCTGGCACAGCACTGTGTGAGCAGCAGATAAAAGATGCTTCAGTGCCCTCTCCCCCTCTCCAGCCTGCACACGGGCGGTGCTGTGCAATGTGCTCCCACTGCCCTCAGCTGCTGTTGACAGACATCCACTGTGCTGGGACACAGCCTGGGCTGTAAATGTTAGTTAGCACCTTCTGGGTCAGTAACTTCCGTCAAAAATTCTCTCCTAGTCCCAGTTTTCAGATCCTGATTCCAACCAGTCTCAGTGCCCTTCTTGGAACCTGCTGTCTTGGGATCATCGCTGGCATCAGCAGCTTCCTCCCGCATGCCTGACCTTCTCCCTTCCTCCACAGCTCCTCAGCTGCTCTCTCCTTCCTTCCTTGGCCAGATCACCCCTTTTGGCAGGAATGCAGTTCAGGCAGCCTGGCTTGCTGGCTCTGATCTCCCCAGCCCAGCCAACATCCACAGGAACTCGGTGACAGGAGGGGCTTCTGTGTGTTCTAGAACCCCAGAACCCACCCTGGATGTTCATTTTGGTTGATAGACCATGTCCCCAGCCTTCTTGCTGGGTTAAGAAGCCCATCATGCCCTCACATCTCCAGCTGGCCATGTCAAGATACCCCCTCCACACACACACCCCAGCGAGTGCAGAGCATGTGAGGTAACCCAGAAACTGTCCCTCTTCATGTCACCACTCCAGGCCAACCTGACCAGCAATAACTGACCCTCACTCTTCTTTTACTTTTGCTGCCTGCCTTTGCCTGGGCTCTGAGATTTGCAGAGCAGTTTATCCTTGCCTGACTCCTCCCTCCACTCATGGAAAAGCCCCCCCCACACTGATGTCTGTGCACTGTGTGTGTGCAGAGCTGCTCTTTCTCAGAGGGGCATCTCCAGGACACAAAAGGTGATGGGCCAGGACTGCACTTGGTCAGATCCAGTCAAAGAGGCATTTTTCATTTCTTTTCCCCTAGTTTTTATCTCGTTAGGATGCCAGAGGAAAGGTTTGCAGCCATGTCCACATCATGTAGCATTGATCTGGCTTCCATCTGCCCCCTCTGGCCCCCTCTGACTCCTGGGGAGGTGAAGAGAGCTCAGGATCCACCAGGCACGGTGGACAAAGGTAGGGATGAGATTCTCTGCCTGCTCCAATGAAGATTTAACAAGTTCAGCCCTGAATTTTGTGTAAGACTTGGCCTATCTCTTGCCACTCACTATTTATTTACTCTGTTTGGCTCCCCACCAGAGGAGTGCCTGGAGCTGTTCTGCAACTCTAAGGGAGAGAAGCAGCCTCATGGGGAGTGGGGTGGTCAAGCAACTGCAGAAAAAGGCAAGGAAAGAAGGAAACAGTGTCCCCACAGCACCATGAGCAGCAGAGAGGTTCCATTTCAGGTCACATTTCAAACCAAATACTGCATTTCAAAGCCTGATGCTTTGACTCCTGCTCAGCACACCCATAGTTAACTCCAAATTCTGGTACTTGGCTTATGGGAGATAATGAAATGTTGGCAAAAGTCATGTTTCATGGCCAAGAAGTCACCTATTACAGAAAGCACAATGTGCTGGACACCTCTGGCATCCCTTGGGGCACTCCAGCAGCTGCCTCAGGCAGCAAGGTACCAGCATGTCTTGTACACACGTGATTTTCCAAGGTTTATATTCCACTTGAATCAAAAGTTTGCTTCTAAACATGCAAAGACTTCTCAGATAGACACATGTAATGCAAATGCAACTCTCCCACCTCTTTTTCAATGCAGAAGAGAACTCAAACTCCTCAGTTTCCTCAGCTTTGTGCCTTTGGACTGAGGATTAACCATAACCAACTTCCAGCTCTTCCAAAGGGAAGTTAGATCCATCAAATAAAAGGTGAGATGGAAACATGTGGCAGAGGCTCTGGCTTCTGAAGGTTTGCAAGGGGTTCCAGGTAGGAAACACTGCCCTGAACACCTCAGTGATTTCCAGGAGAGAATGCAAATACAATCCACA